GACGTTAAACTATATATTTCTCTACCGCCATGAATACTCCAGGACGCAACAATATGTATGTATGTATGTATATATATATATATACACACACGCGCGCGCGCGCGCGCACACACGCATATACATCATACACCCCTAATGCATACATACAATTGTCGTATAAATATATCTCGAGTAAAAGCCTATACCCGCATGGGCTTCGGTGAGCATGTTGTAGTTACACATGTGACGCCTGAGGATGATGCGCAAGTTAAGAAATAAATTCAGGTCTTTTGCCAGCAAATAAATAAAGTCGACAAGGTTCAATCAACAAAAAATGAAACTATCCATGAAAATCCCGATGAGGGACACGTTGAAAGGAAATCTCGAACCAGCGGGGACCTCAAATATCCAAAAATGCCTTCCAAAATTCTCAAATGCCAATAAAAATCCAAATTTCCAAGAGTCGCCTCAAAATCAATATATTTAAAATAAAATAAATCATCAAACACTAAAAGAAAAATATCCATCCACCCTCCGCAATAATTTATCGGGAGTGAAAAAACTAAAAATCACTTCAGCTCACATAGAGCTAATGTCTGGTCGAAAATATTACTAGATTCATTCGCAATGTCTCTTGACAGTAAGGACATGGCACATGTCCTCTAACTAGTGGTTTCATCTCCAAATGGCACCATAGGTAAACGGTTATGACCGGGGCCCTCTGAACCATGTGATTTTGTTGTCAAATGACACCACGAAATTACGGTCATGGTTAGAGCTCGTATGCTTTCCAAAGGTTTCAAATCCTTGAGATATGAATCAATAGAATATAATCGATAGGGCATAAAGCCCTCTATTAGCTAAGGTAGATTCAGATTTGTCCCTTTAGACAAATATTCACCCAAGCCTATAAAGTACCCTTAGAAGAAGCAACTCATGGATGTCGATAAGGATCCTTCTGTTAGGTAGATCAACTGCCTCCTCAGACTAAGTAGACTAGAGATCATGATAACCTGGAACGACAAAACCACATGATCTTAATCGGGCTCATCATCATTCCCCCCACCATCCGTTTTAAGTAAAAGATGGTGAAATTTTTAATTTTAAATATCAAATTCTCAAATACTTAAACCATGTTGGTACTACACGCCAGATGCTTCGTACCGGTTTGTCGACTAGCCTTAATTGAAAGTTCTCTCTCATTATCAAGAGGGTAATTAATTATAGGGGCATGTGCTTATAGGAAACCAGAACTCAAATCATAAAGTCCTTGCAAAATGAGGACTAAATCTCTGAGTAGTGTCATATTTAAAAAAACTCAATTAGTCTTCTGAAAATTTGCCTCGAATCCTACTTGTTAAAACTCTCCTCGACGACTCGAAAAGAAAGAAACAGGGCCGCAAAGAGACCGGGGTGAGAATTTTTGGAGCCCACACTCTCTAAGAAGCTCTATAAAGCTCATTTAAGATTTAATAATATACACACTTAAGACTAGATAATATACTAATTTTAAAATTAATAATAGATTTTTTTTAATAATTTAAATATTTAATTATTTTTTTTTTAATTTTTTTATAAAAATTAAATAGATATTAAATAAATAAATTGATTCGATAAAACTAATTTTAGTTCTCCATAATAATCAAATTAATCATTAAATAGTATCTCAAAAAATAATTAAACATAATAACATTTATTAATTAAATTAAATAACAAATGATGTTGATTTTGTTAATAATATTTTTTTTTAATTAATTAGTATTATTCCACCCATCCCCCTCACTCCTAACCTAAAGCTGCCCAATTGCCCGAATCCCCATAAATATAATATCCAAAAGGACCCAAGCCCTCATCCCCACTACCCTCTGCCCACCCACAAAAAACATCACCCCTCAAAACTCCACGTTAAGTTATAGCGCATAGCACGCAACACGACACATGTCATTTTAAATATAGTGCGTAATATAAAATAATTTTCAATCAAATAAAATTGATGACAAACTATTTGCTCTTAGATAACAAAAAGATGCTAGATCGACATCAGAGCTACACCAATACTATGTCAACTAGAATAAAAAACTAAAAGAAATTATAGTGACCGAAACTAAAGAAGAAATTAATGGTCAACTTTGATTTTTTCATTAACCCCTTCATTAACAAAATCAAAAATAAATAATGCAAACAAAGCTCAGTCGTTACCTCTCCTATGAAGATGTCGTCATTCATTTGTTCAAAAACATGGGAAGATCTGCTCAAAGAGAAGCTACAACTAATCACTCAATGTGCCTGTAGTTCAATCGAAGCTGCAACTAATCACTCGACGCCCTTACCTCCATTGACAAAATTAAAATTAATAATGCAAACAAAGCTCAGCCCTTACCACTCTTATGAAAACATCATTACTTATTTCAAAGATCTATTCAAAAAAAAAGGTTAAAGCCACATGCTTGTAGGAGTTGTAAAAACTTTAAGAACCTATTGAAATTGTAGGAACCACCGATCGCTAGACAGACACCACGCAACTCAATCTTAAACCTACAAACACCAAAAGCCACACGACCTCCTCTGTTGTATGCATGGAATTTGATATTAGGTTGTGGCTCAGTATATTAGGGCTTAGTATAATAACATATTAGGTATATTAATTTATAAAATAAATAATAAATTGAATAATTTTTTAAAAAAATATATAATTTTAACTTTATAATATGTTAAAATAAATTGAGCGCACTATTTGGGCTTTGTGCTAACGCTACTGCTCGTATATGATTAAAATAGCACACTCAATTACATATGACATTTCGATTTGGGTTTAATAAAAAAAATTAGATCAAACCAATAACTGAAATTCAAATAATTCATACCTCCAAACCAAGCAAACCTAATATTATTAGTTTGATTTATCCCTTTATACCAAGTAATGCAGACCCCTAAAAACTACTCTTGAGGGTATCATAAACATTTCCACACAACTTGTATCATGTTTCTAGAGTTCATGCTGCTCTTGAACCTCTAGGATTAATTTTACTACCTTCATTTTGGGCTACCAGAAACTAATCTCCACATTTAAGTTTGTTTTGATTTATTTGAGTTAAAAAAACAAAGAGGCATAAATCCAGTGTACGAAGCTTTGAATGTTGCACTTATCTTTTTACTTTATAAGAGATTTATTGTTTCTGAAAATTGCTATTTTTACAGCCTGCTCATCTTGATTTTATAATTGATCTTTGATGTGGCCTAATTAAATCTAGCAAATAGAAGTAGTTGATAATCTATATTGATGTTTTGTGTCTATATTATTTTGTTAAGAAATCATGGCATATCCATGGATGGCGATAACAATTATCTATAAGTGTTTTAGAGTGTAATTGTTTCAATATTAAAAAACTTATGTTATCTAGCTAATCATTTTTGAATGAATACAATAGGAGTTAATATTTTACTTGCCAATTTCAACCACAAAGCAGTTTTTAAGTTTATAAGTTTGCATTCGCAAGCTTCTTTTCATTTCATTTATATATTTAATTTCTTTTCATTTCTAAAATATTATTTATAGATTTTTTGTTGTGCTAAAAAATGATGAACTTTACTATTTCTTCATCTAAATTGATTTCCTTCATGAACACAAGATATTTGACTATGTTCGTTGGATTGCTTGTTTAATTGTTCATTTAGAAGCTGAACTGATAAAGTTTCATTTGCTAAGCTCAATAAGTTTCCCATTAATAAGCTTGTTAAGGCTTGTTCAACTATCTAATGAGTTGCTTGATGGCTTTGTTCCTTGATACTCAATTAATTAGTTAGCAAGTTGTGCTTATTAAAAAATACTTGATATAGTAGCTAGATAATTATGCACATTAAATTTAGCTTTTGTAAATAAATAAACACAAAAGGATGCACTTCTCATAATTAAAGCATAGCATACCAAGTCATAGATTATTCTGAAGTATATAGGTTTCAAGCAAATACCTCAAAGTTGCGATAATCAAGGATGTCAAGCCTTTCCATTATATCATGCATCTTTCCAGGAGTACCTACAAGTATGTTTGCACCTTCTTCCTTTATCTTTTTTATATCAGTTTTAATGTCCACTCCACCAACAAGAAGCACTGCCTTAGCACCAATGATTGTTAAGAAGAATGGTTCTGCAACATGGTATATTTGTGTTGATAATTCCCTTGTAGGAGAAACGATGATTCCAAGGACCTGCAAATTCCAAACATAAGTTTCAGAGGGGTAACAGTAAAAGAGCCAAAAATTCCTCTAACAATGATTCAATTTTTCAAAAATTAAAGCAGAAGTCAAAGGAAAGCCTACGCAACATAATTGGTTCTTCATTTCTTATTCTATTTTACCCCTTGGTTTCAGCACTTTCTAACTACAGATCTCTTGCATCTGTATCAACAGAGTTGAGACAACCCAGTGTTACTAAAGAAAAAACTTGCGCTGAGTTCAATGGATCAAACAAAGGCAAAGAACCTTTTCATTTAAAGTGTTGAAAATGGACAATGGACTTAATGAGCAAGCACAATGGTCTCTTTCTCTCCTAATGATCTATGATTCTATTTGTATGAGTATCCAAAGATGATTCGGCAAAGGAAGCTAGTAAGAAACTGGGAGATTATCAATGAGCTAACTATATATTTTCAGTACCAGATACTTATAATTAGGAAAAAAAATCAAACCAAAAGCTCATCAGCGATATCTCATACACAATGACTACTCCATGATATCAATTTCCTTAAAACCCTGAATTGCTCCGAATGGGAAAAAATAAAGGAAAAAAGGCAAAGACACGAGAGAGAAAGATGGCGACCTGGTGGGGTTTTGGGTGCGAGTAGGAGCGCCGAAGTATCTCAATGAAGGGCACGACAAACGCCAGCGTTTTTCCAGAGCCGGTAGCAGCGTCGACGGCGACGTCCTTATGGTTGCAGAGCAAAGGGATAGTGGCTGCCTGGACTGGCGTGCAAAACTCGAAGCCACCATCGGTTAGGGTTTCCAGTACGGGTTCAGAAAGAGGAGGGTTCAGGTCAGAGAAGCGAGTCGAGGTCAGTGCTCGCTTCGCCGCCTCGGCATCCGCCGCTGCCATCGCGCTGCGCTCTCTATGCTTTTTGGGTCTGAATTCCTCTTGGATTTAAGGATTTACGGCTCAAATCCCTCGGTTCGGCGGATTTATGGGATTTGGCCGAAGAAGCGCGCGAAAGGTAGAAAGTTACCTTCACAGTCAGCGAGCTCCTAGCGAGCTACCGTTGTTGCTTCCGATAAAAATGTCGTATTTTCTGATCCGACAGTAAGGGAAAATCGTCGAAGGAGCGAAGTCGAACAGCCACGACCACAAAGTAGCTGACGAAGCAACGCGTGCATCAACCTCCTGCGAAGTAACGACGAAAAGAGAAGCTGAAAAGCAAACCCTAGAGCCTCTAAGTTATTATTGATTAACTTAATTAATATAATTTAAAATATTACTAATTAAGTAAATTAATTAAATAATTAATAATATAATTAGTGCATAAATTAATTATCTAACTTAATTTAATTTAATAATTAGTAATATAATTAGTATTTAAATATTAATATAATTAACTTAATTAATATAACTTAAAATATATATTATTAAAAATATAATTAATATTGTAAATAATAATTAATGAGTAACTTGGTACTTAATATGTTATTAAATTCATAATGCATTATTTTTTAATTATACATTTATTTTTTTAATTATACATTTATTTTTTTAATTTATAATTATCTATTTCAGATTTAAATCTCTAACTGTCATAAATCACGAAATAAGCTACCAAATAAATTCTTGGGATTTTATAGGATTTAAGAGTTGGTATACAAAATAATTTTCAGGATTTAACACCCTCGGAATTTACTAAATTTGAATTTACAGGTTTTACTAATTCCCACTTGTTGCCAAATAGCCCCTAAATGGGCTACTAGAATAGTAAATTAACATAGTATAGTAAATCTTGAAAATTCCAATTGAGTAATTTCGAATTGAGTAAATTGGGATGGTATTTATTACATACTAAATTTTTTTTAGTAAATAGAATATGTATTTTATATCTTAATATTATTATTACGAGCTAGAACATACGTAGCAGTAGAGTGAGGATTTTTCGTCTTAGCGGTGCACGGATATGCATCACACAAATAAAGAACTAAAAAACACCAAAGTTTTTATATGGAAAATCCAATTAAAGGGAAAACCCACAGGGCCTAGCACAGTTGAAATGATCAACTAGTATTTTAATATATTATAAAGTTTAGTCTGTCTGTTAAGTTGGAGATAGTGGAATTACAAAAAAATTGATAATCGGGTAGAAAACTAGCGATGAACAGTGGTCGCGTAGAGGTCTAGCAACAGTCGGCAACTAGGCAGAAGTCTGGTGTCAATCCATGGTCAGGTGGTACTCCCGTGATGGTCAGTGGCCAAGCGGAAGTCCGGCGTCGGCTGGTGGCCGGTGCAAAAATTCGGCCTGGGTCGGTGGCCGGGCAGAAGTCTAATGTCGTTCGATGGTCGAGTGGAAATTTGGAATCGGTTAATGGCCAGGCGGAAGTCCGGCAATAGTTGGTGGTCAAGAGGATGTCCAACATCGATCGGTGGATTGGTGAAAGTCCAGCAATGGCTGGTTGCTGGTAGTGGTCAAGGAGGAGCTTGGTGGCATGAGAGATCTCATATTTATATTCATTCTTCCTCTCATTTTTTTCTTATCCCTTTTGTGACTAATGAGGGGGTCTATATATATATATATTTATCTTGACTAGTAAATAGGGAGAAGATCAAGAGCATCTTATGAGTGCTTTTGATGGATAGCTGATATTGATTTCCTTAATCATATATCACTTATCGATCATTTAATAGCTTTAATAATGTTAGAATTCAATGATCTTAGGTTCATTGGATTCTTCTCATCAAGTTGTTCGATTCAACTATAAGCATGTCACATTTGGAACTCATTCAATCATCCAATTTATGCTTTGAACTTTCTAAACATGTTTCGTGGCCTTGAATTGAACCCATTTGGGCTCAGATTGGACCGAATTATGTGTCGTTGGGTTTGCCCCTTCGAGAGTAACCAACCTTTACTTATTTTTATATATATTATTACAATAATAATAATACCCAATAATTACTCAATCACATGCCTGTATTTATTCATAATGCTTGTATTAACACTATGTTTATATTAAATTCCTCCCTTAAGTCCTAGGGTGTTACAGCTACAACGACACCCACCAACTTCAACACCTACTATCACCAACAATGAAAACATATGCTAGTTCTCATAAGATTGATGTAAGTTGTTTACACTATCTGTAACTCCTAACATCAATACCATGATTTCGTAGTCTTTAAACACTCTCCTCAATGGAATATGATCAAACAAATGCACAATGATCTTTTAAAGATAGCTCTTATGTCACATGACTCATCTAAATTCCATTGCATATTATAATCTATACTATATATATTTACTACACTATGGCTCTTCACCGGCGATGGGCATTATTTATAAATGATGATAAACATTATTGAAATCATTTTTACTTATCCAAGCCTCGTGGTTAAACATTGATATCTCTATATAATTTATATTCATTTAAAAACTTTAATATCTCTTGCAACTTCTCTTTTGAATGTTTTTATATTTGATTTTCAAACAATACTAAAATATTAAACCCTCAAGCTCTAGTTTCATGAATTTTTCAGTATGTCGCCCCCCAAAAAAAAAATCCCTTTACACCATGTTCATTGGCTCTCACCCTCTCTTTCCATCTCTATTTTTCCTATTTTCTCTCTCTCTCTCATTCTTTGAGATTTTGTTTTTTAGCCTCTATCTCTCCCTCTTTCTTATCTCTCTCTCTCTCTCTCTTCATTAGGGATGAGACTACTTTTCTCTCTCCATCTTTACATTACTAGTTTTTTTAAAATTAAAATTTTCATCAATTTATTATTTTAAAAACTCTAACTTCAAGTTTATAGGAGATTTATGTAATTAAAGCCAACAAATTACATTAGAAGAGAATTATAATATTTAAATTTAAATCAAGTAGCTTAAAATATATTATTATAAATTTTTGTATATTTTGAATATACTTTTATAATAAGAAGATGCAATTTTTTTAAATATTTATTGCTCTTAAAATATTTTTTAAGTATATTTTTTATTTAAATTAGATATGAAAATATATGGTAAAAGAGTAGTTGAAATATATTAGTATGATAATATATAGTTCAAATAAATTTGTATCAAAATTAATTTAGAAAAGCATGATAATATTTTTTTTCATTATCATAAAATTTATCTTCTTATAATAAAAAATAATAATAAAAAAATTAAAACCATAGTGTCAATTTCAAGATAAAATAAAAAAGCTTGAGGGTATTTTTTAAGTCAAAATTTTGTGCCCCCACAAATAAAAAATCCAGCCACTGTGTGTGCGTGTCTTTGTGTGTGTATTCAATATTTAAATTAATCTTAATAATTATTATTAGTTAATTAAAAATTATGATCTTAAGGTAATTGTATTTTATAAGTCTTCACAAATTTCATTTGATTGACTCGAATATATACATAATATTTGAGTTGAAAATTTTTTGGATTAAATTCAAAACCATCCAAATTTCAATTTCAACAAACTTCATATTCAAACAATTTCCCAACAAACTGAAACCCATGACACAAAAATTGATGTGATTCATGTCCAAATGAGCTCAAATCAAGAATTTAAAGCATTTTAAAAGTTTCTAATTATTTTTAAAGAACATAATAGTCTTTGAATCTTTAATGCTTATAGTCAAATTGAGCATCTTGATGAGATTAATCTAACTAGGCCAAAATCAGTCAATTATGAGGTCATTAAGACACTGAACTATTGAATAAATAATATATAGTCAATGGGATAATTAATGAGTTTTTTAATTGAAGGTTTTTTTTTAATTCTATTTAGATTTAACAAATATCTCTCTAAAAATATATAAGAGGGTTATAAAGCTGAGAGATGAACTTCAGTTCTTTGCTTAATGATCACCATCGATAACCACCATCATCAATGTATGACTACCAATATCGCCTAACTTTTGTTGTCCCACTCCCATTATGCAACTACTAACATCCAACCCTATCATCTGGCTTCCACTGTCCGACCATATATACCTAACCTTTATTATGTTGTTGCTGCTTGATGGAAATTGTATGATTATCTCCACCTTCCATAACTTCTTTATAATCTCTACAATGGACATCAAATAATCTTTATGAATTAATAGAGGGGAATAACATACTCTTACATCTTTAGTTATATAGTGAACTATTTCAACTTGGCCAAGGTCAATAATTTTTCATCTTTTTAGATTTTTCACAGACGAAATTATAGTATATCTTATAACTTTTATTTGTGTGTGTCTTGAATTCTTATACAAAGCTAAGATATTAAAAAGTTTGTATATTGCTACAAATTTTTTTAAACATAATAATTTGGTACCATATGTGGGAAGTATATCTCAATATCTTAGCAATATCATTTCAATGGTTGGTAGGTGTTATACTAGTGAAACCAAATTTTCTCATTCTCTTACTCATTAAATTAGAAATTTATCTAGTGACCATGAACATCATAATCATCCATGGGTGGAGCAAATTACATCCTCGGAGGATCATATATGCAGGGTAGAGAAGCAACAAGCTGAAACCTTTAACTAATGGATGAGGCTAACCAATAAAGAATAACATCATATTATGATGAAAGCCATCAAACATAAAATCAACACTATAATAGGGATAAATATTATGAAAATGCATGTTAATTATGCCCTCATCTTAATGTTAAAGTCCATCATCCATTACAGCCCAACCTCAAACTTTTTAACACTACTAGTTCGATTCATTTTTCTTGTGTCACTTTACCAACATGGAATCCTCTACCACCCTTAGTTGGTTTTGGATTATGGATTCTACTCATAAAATTATACATAATGAATCATGATGTCTTGTTTAGGAAGAATTTTCTATAATGAATATGAATCAACTTACTCTTCAATGCATTTTGTATGAGACTTGCGCCTTAAGAGATGAAATTCTCCTACATCCCATTCTAATGGAGTTCAAGCTACCCACTCTTGATTTGTGCGCTAGGTATTTTGATCTTTATGAGCATATTTATCATTATAGGACCATGATGCATATCTAACAAGATTTTGGTACCCTTTCTATCAATTATTCTTTACTACTCTAAAAGGCTAATTCCATAGTTAGTTCTATTTGCTCTCTGATAATACTATCCATAACACTTCCCACCATGCTTGACTTTTATTTGAATATTTAATCACCAATCAAGAATCCAGGATCTATCAAAGTAAAGGAGAATCTTTAAAAGAATACTTTCAAATATTTTCTTCAAA